GTGGAGGCAGGGGTCCCTGTTCCAGGCCTCCATGGAGACAGCGCCTGGCTACGCTTGGCTAACCAGGAGCTCAGTTGAGTCCCCATTAGAGGTTCCTGCATCACCCATCCTTCCAACAAACACTTTCTCCTTCACTGGGTGAGACCTTCAACTCCAAAGTCAGCTGATTCTTGGTCTTCTTTGCTGTGCAACCCTGAGCAGGCCCCTGGGTGTCTCTGCGCCTCCGAGTCTGCCCGACGGTCTACTGAACAGGTGACTGGGCAGCTGGGAGGACACACGGAGGAACTGGCCTGGGGTCTGCCGTAACTATGGTGTGCAATGACCTTGACCTGTGACCCCATGGTGACCTTCAGTGCCCCCACACCTGCTTGTCTGCAGGATCCTTCCGGAGCAGTGGAAGAGACACCCTTGGCCTGATGATGTCTTTCTGAGCTTGGTCTATCTGATCCCAGAGTCCAAACCTCGGCCCCTCCTTCTGCATTATCAACAACAAACGTTCTAAAATTAGCCCAAGGCTGCCAATTCCGAGTGGAGTTGGCTTTTGGGAACTGTGAGGCCTTGGCACTGTCACCTGAGTCTTCTCTCCATCCAAGCGAGTAATGAATTGTCACTCACCGGATGGGTTCCAGCGTTACAGCTATTCTGCTGTCAAGGACTCTGGGGCTAATGGATCCAAGCACACGGATCAAACGGAGGGTGGCGGGATGATGAATGGGCTCTTTGAGAGCCAGGCTGCTGGCAGCCAGGCTGGCCAACAGGGGGTACCTAATTTGCTTGTATCCACAATTACCTAAAGCCTGTTCTGCCAGTGTGGAAAGGGTCCCACCTGTGGCCCCTGTGTGGAATTCATTATTCCAAGTGGCACCAACCTCTGAGCCCCAGTGGCTCCCAGGAGAGGCTGCATCCCTGGCTAGGTCTTGCATGCCATCAAGAACAGGGAGACGGCCCCCACCCAGGGCACATACTGTTGGTGTCCAAAGCTGGCTTCAAGCACCTCTGCATTCAGCCCGGCCTGCCACACCCATCCGTGTGTGTATGCCCATGGGGGGTTGACATTGGGCATTTTCCTCAACTGTTCCCTATCTTTACCAGACACAGCTATTCCCATCTTTACACGTAGATGACCTCAAAGTGCTGGGTTTCAGAAACACGATGTCACACGTGGCTTTTACATGGGAACACACACTAAGAGCCTTGCGCCTGTGAAGTAGGCTGTTCATTGTGTGGTTTTGTTTTTTCTTTTTGTTTGTTTGGGGGTTTTTTTTTGTTCGTTTTTGTTTTTGTTTTTTGGCTACAGGATCTAACTACTCAGCCCAGGCACCCCCCACCTCCAGCTCCCTTGAATATCTTTATATTTCATTATTACCCCCACCCCCACCCAGGTCTCACATTTCCCAGGCTGGCCCTGAATCCACTAGGTGGGTTGATGACCTTGAACTCCTGATCCTCCTGCCTCCCCCTCCAGAGAGCCGGAATAATAGGCGTGCATCACCATGCCCAGCCCCTTTGCACACTTTTAAACTGACATCCTTATACACCTTCTGTGGGTTCTCCTCCCGCAGGATAAATCATGTCTCCTCAAGATAATCAATCCAGCGTGCAGGTCGGGCAGCCAGCCCCTTCTCCATCGGATCCCAAAGATCTAGTTCTGCCAACCAAACATCTCACCCAGCTGTAGATATCATGAGGAAACGGCAAACAAAGAGAGAGATTTAATAACTGGAAACAGGAGCGAGGCTGCAGAGAGTTTAATTTTTTTTTTGTATTTGCATCTAATTGCAATCAACAGACTTCTGAGCCAGCGACAGGCTCAGCAAAATTGGTGCTGAGAGAACAGAATATTTGTCTAAAAATAATCAGACATTCTGCTCACCGCTGTTTGTTATAACGGTAATCGATGCTGGAGGCTTTGAATTCCATCAATTTATAGATCGGCGCAGGCCTGCCCCGGCGAGGGGGCGGTGCGCGGCAGGGCTCGGCCAGCACCGGGCCGGTCGGTGTGTGATTAAGATAAGCCCCGGTTCCTTTCATACATTCCTTAGTGGGGGCTCATTCTCCGGCAGGCGGAGACGTTCACCGCAGTTAAAGATCACTGCAGCTTCTCAGACGCCAAATTTGAGGGGATTGATCAATAAATCAAATCAGGCCGATCGATCGGCCAATCAGGAGAGTCTAGCCGGTGCATTATCGCCGGCGCCTTCCAAGCCAGAGCTTTTCACGGCTTCCATCAAAACAGCCTGGCCCTGGCTGGCCGCCAACGGCTGGCCTGTCTCATAGCCGAGACCGCCGAGAGGGGCCGCCTGCCCAGCGGGAGAGCAGTAAATTTCTCATCAAACAGCCGATGGAGGAGCTGGGCGAACATCTGTTGTGCTGCAGTTGTGCGGCTGACAGACCGCCCCGACGGCAGCTTCCCCGGGCACACAGGGGCCCCGGTGGAATGTACCACTGGTTACTTCCAGGAGGTAATTTAAGGAGACTTTTGCATTCTTCTCGCGGCTGCTGCCCGAGCTCTGCAAAGCCGATGCCGGCACAGTCGATAATAAAGACTGTCCGGGGACCCTGCAGGATGACGGCGCTTTTATGATTCCCATTATGTCGCAATGTAACTTCATTAAAGGCTGTTTATTCCTTCTAAGCACGGGGAGGGCCTCCTGCACGCCCATCAAGGTGGAGCCAGGAGGTGATCTCTGCGGGGGCGGGAAGGGGGGGTTCCAGGCAGTTTTCTCTCACTTGCCTTCCATCTCCCAGGCAGGGCGGATAGCGTGATAGTTTGATCTCTGTTCCTTCCCACACACTCCAGCAGCCAGGTGAGGACTAAGTGATCCCAGATATACATAGAGACATCTGGGCCTCTGCATAGGAGCTGAGCCCTCAGGCTCACCAGACCCTCGCAGGCCCTTTGTTCTGGCATAAAGAACGTTCCAGAATTAAACAGTGGGGCTATGCCAGCTAGAGCCAGTGTTCTTTTTGTTCTTTTGTTTTTTCCTGTTGACATTAATCAAAACAAATTGTCACTCTTGCGAAGCCCCAGATTCTTCTCAGGGGACAGTCTAGATATCAGAGGCCTGTGGGCTTCAGGGTAGTTAGAGGGGGCTCTAGGGCCCAGGGTACCTCTGTCCTTTCTTCAGGAGTAGGCTTAGTCACATTGTGAACCCAAAGAAGGGTGGGTGACAGTAGAGGACCAGGCAGGTGACAAGGGTCTCTGGGGACCCGTCATTTGGGTGAACTTTCTGTCTCTGGGGTGACAACGCTGAGTAGGAGGGACTTGTTCCCACACAGTGGGCAGGCGGCAGGCCCCGCTTGGGACACAGTAGAATACGCAAGAGTCTTCAGGTGGACGGCAGCTAACAGCAGATATTCCTCAGCCCAGTGGAACCAGGCCCCAGTGACACCATCAAGTCCTGGGATTATCATTCTCACTGTGCAGATTAGGGCAGAGTCACACAGTGAGCAGACAGAGCTCAGCGCTTGCTGGGTCTCTGCTCCTGGCACCTCAGGTCTGTTTTCATCATTTATGTCCTGCTTCTCCGCCACCGTGGTGGTGGCATCAGGCTCCCATCACCCAGGCTCAGAGGGGGAAGGAGTTTTTAAGTTGTGAGGGCTGGAGCTGGTTGATCCCATAGGGGGCGTATTTCTCCATTTTAGGGCCCCTGCTGGGCTTCTGCATAGCTCTGAATAAAGAGAGGGTCCTTCACCACCTAGAGACCCCCGTCACCTGGGCCAGGGTCCTCCACATAGACCTATTCTGCCTGTGAGCCACCCAGTGAGGAGCAGAAGGCTGGGCATAGCCTGCCTGGCCTGTGCCAGCTCCGCTCAGCTGCACATTGCCCTGTGCTGACCTCTGTCCCTGGGTTCCACCACAGCACAGCATGATCCCCCACCCTGGTAAACACCGGCCATACCCTGCCATGTCTCTCTGATGCCACAACTTCCCAAATGTCCCTGGTCCTGCCTGCTGTGTTCCTACCGGAGGCCCCTGCCACCAGCACCCACTGTGGGCAGCATGGATGCCCACGCCCCTACAGGCTCATTCCTGTGTCCTTCACATTCTCCCAACCCTCACCACAACGCTGGCACCTAGGTGCCTAAACATTAGTTACTGAACAAACAAAATGGAGGAGCCTGATCCTCCTGGTGTCCCGAAGACCACGGGGCCCATCCTGTTCCCATCACAGATAAGTTACTTTGAATTCATAGTGCAGAGCTACATTCTAAATGTGGGAAGGGGAGCAAAAGAGGAAGGTGGGATAGAGGGAGGGAGGGAGGGAGGGGGAGGGGGAGGAAAGGAGCAGGGTCTTTCATCCACTCTTGCAGAGCTGATGGGAGGCTGGCCTTGTCGAACCAAGAGCAAGTTTACCTGTCACCCTGATACAGATCCACCCAGGGTCCCTTTCACAGAAACTACAGAATATTAGATTTATCTCACACTCCAGCTGAGATGTGCTGCCCAGATTTCAGGGCAAGATTTATTACACTGGCTGGCTTTTAAAATGAAAGAGAATCTTGTAGCTAAAGCGTGTTCTGCTAACCGGTGAGGATAGCAGCCAGTGGCAGTCTGGGAGCCCTCCTCCGTCCCCCAGGCTCTGCAGGATCCACACAAGCCTATGGGTGACCTTGAAGAAATGCCCTCATTCTTTGGATGTGTGTCTGTCTGTGATGACCACAGGCCGGCTGCACCTTACCCCTGGCCTCTACATGCCAAGCGCTTTGCACGGAGTAGGTCTCTATCTTTTTTAAACATACATTTTAGTGGATATACAAAACACGAACATATTCATGGGATACCAGGGGGTGGTTCTTTGAGAGGAGGCTATATTCCTGTGAGACAGGGATAGTTTTTATCCCATTATATGGGTAAGAAAACTGTTCTGGTAGAAGCTTCACCCCAGCCCCTGGCTTCCACACACCCAAAGAGTGTGGAATGTTCTGGTGGAAGTTCCACCCATGCCCCCTCCCCTATCTCCCTCTAAACCCTGCTGCATCTTAGAAAGCCTGCCAAATGATGATTCCTCCTCCAGAGATGCTCAAGACCACTCCCACAGGGTACTTAAACTGCCCCCCCAACAGATGTGTGGTTTTCTGGTTTCTCTTTCCTGTCTCCTATCTGGGGAACTGGAAGGCCATCTGGGAGCACTGTATCCATTAAACATGGGCTTTTTCTAATTCGATTTGATTTGGTCTGATTTGGATTGTTGTGTTCTTATCAGGTGTGGACACTTCGGAAGCTATGGCTCTGAGAGGCACGTGATCACTTTGACAAACAGAGGCAAAGTCCACCAATCCAGACCGCTTTCCTCTCTGGGGACAGTTAGTGCTGTCTGGACACATGAAACCCTGGGAGATCTTCCAGAGAAAACACCCTGTGTCCTCTGTCTCCATGGTCCCTGACTTTCCTAGGGACAGCTGGAGGAAATGCCAAGAGGTTGATTTGTGTCCTCGGGACCCAGCAGGCTGAGCTGGGGGAACATGTGTGGCTTGGCTCCCAGGAATGCACTAGACTCCCTGGCAGTGTAAGTCATGGGGATACCGGCTAATGGAAACGGGGCATGAAGACACCTGGCCAGAGGAACCCCCTAGTCGAGTGATTCTGCCTGCCAGGACCCCACCCCATCCCCAGCTGGCAATGCCTGGAGCTGGAACCCAGCGCCTGGGGCACCCTGGCCAAGTGCTTTGCTGATCTTTGCCCTAAGTCCCCTAAAAGCACCCACGATGACCACACAGCTGCTGTCAACATTAGGGGCACAGCCAGAGGTGCTACTGAACAATGCCTCGTCTAAGTGTCAGTAGTTTGTGGTCCAAATGCCGTCTATGAAATGCTGCAGGCAGCTGCCTTAGTGCTTGGGGGTACAGATGGGGGGCTTGGAGCTGGGAAGTCTGAGGGGTCTTCCACAATCTGGTCATCTGAGGAAAGCGGTTCAGGTGACCAGGGTAGGTTGCCTGTCCCCACAGCCACCCTAGCATAAAGTGAGTGACCAGTTTTTATGGACAGGAAAAACGGAGCCTGAGACAGGTGGCTGGACTCAATGACCTCCCTTTCCCCATCCTAACCTGCCCCTGTATCTTACCCCCAGGACAAGAGCAATGGTCACTGAGATTCCTTCCAGAAACTTCTCTGAGTGGAACCATCTCGTTTATCCCCACCAAGAGGCCTAAGAAAAACGTTGGTTGTCTCAACTTTATGCAGAAGGATCCTGAGGTTCCACGGCCACGAGGCTGGCAAGGAAGAGTCAGGATTCGAACCTTCATCCTCTCAGTCGCTCAGCCCACCGCTCAGATTCCTTCACTTAGTCCATTCTCCCTCTCAGAGCTCAGCCTCCACGCTTGTGTGTGCACATGGCCGCCAGAGGCCAGGCCTGGGTGTGATTCAGCCTCCATCCGCCCTCGAGTGTTTGAGGCAGGGTCTCTCACTGGCCAGGCCTTGGGGGTCATGCTGGCTCAGCTCCCCGCACTGGGCACACCTGGCGTCTCACGCTTGTCTGTGGCAAGCACTGAGTTATCTACCCGGGTCCCTGCCGCCCCCATTTTAAATTAGAGCTTACACCCAAGGGAGAGTGTCCCGGCCACTGGTGCCCACCCCCACACATTGCAAATCACACGCAGAGATGGGGCCCAGCCCAGACTCTCCACGCCCAACAGCTCAGTCCCACTCCACTCCCCCTGAATCACCCGTTTTTTCTCCCTCCAGGGAGGAGCCGGTCCTGACTAGAATTGACATCTGTCCCCCTCAGGAATGCCAGTAAAAAGAAACTTTTTACTGAGAGGCCCACACAGGTAATTTGCGACATTTGCTGTGAGGATGGCAGACCTTGCCTTCCGGAAACATCACCAGCGAAGCCTAAAAACTTGCTGCACGCTCGACATGACATGGATTCGACACCAAGCGTAGGGACAGGTAGGCAGCTCACAGGGGACCCTCTGCCCACCCTGGTGACTCTCGGGGGCCGGGTGACAAGCGCGTCACCTGCGCCTGTGACTTTCTTGCCCCTCCTGTGATTAGGAAGCATCGCAAGCACCAAGTGAAAGTTTAGGAAAATATGGGGGAGGATGGGGGGGCTGGGGAACGAAAACCAACCGAGTCTTTGAGGTTTAATAGTCAATAAATGTGTCAATTTTACATACAGAGGCAAATGGGCCTTTATTGAGGAATTGGTAAATTTCCTCGGAAGACGTGAATGCATTTTAGCCTTCAAGGGGTCCCAGCTGACTGGAAATGGAATGTGATTTGTGATAAAACTCAGCTGCTCTTATAAAAGACGTTAAATAAATGCTGCCGTTTCACCGGGGATATACAAAATTGATTGCATTATAGACGGATTCCAGGATGCGTGTCCCCGTATGGCCCCATCAGCCTGTGCACGCATGTGTGCATATGTGTGCATGCGTGTTTGGTGTATATGTGTGTGTGTGTATGAGTGTGTGTGTGGGGGGCTTGTAGGGGGTTTAGGTTGTATGTCACTCCTCTTCCTTGTCCTAAGGCAGAATTTTCTGGGAGCACACCCATGCTTGGATTGCAGTTGAACCCTGAGAAACTGTAGCTGTCTGGCAATTACCAACTCCCCACAACAGCAACTTCTATGGCTTTGTAATGTGTTTTGGCAAGCAGGTTATGGATCTGGGGGCTGTTTCTAGCCTCACTTAAGGGACTCTTAGTGGCCTGCTGAGTGTTCATAGGTGCAGGCATCAGAGGAAGAATGGGAGCTGTGGCCTTTCCCTCAGCCAGGTCAGGAGAGCTTAAAACAAACCCTTGCTTTTTCTGAGCCTCAGTCTTCCTCATCTGAAAAACGGGTACAAGCCCCAGAGTGAGTGTTTGAAAAAGTCAAAAGAAGGCAGAGTCTCAGAGTTTTTGACCAACCACTGGTAAGGTGCTGTGTGACCGACAGGAGCTCCAGAGTCACCTTCAGTCATTGTAACCCTGCCCTCAAACATTATGTCTACAAGCAAGGCTGGGTTCCCAGGAATACTCAGATGCTTGTGCCACCCTCACCCCAACCCTCTGAAGTTTGCTCCATGCACTGATTCGGGTCAGATGCCCGCAGCAGCCTCTTGTGAGGCTCCCTGGCTCCTTCAACTGCCCAACCCCTCACCCCACATCAGCAGCCAGAGGAGACTTCCCTTCCGATGTGGATGCTGCTCCCTCCTGCCCAACACTTCTCCTGACCCTCATTCCATTTCCATTCAAAACCCGCCTGTGGGGTTAGTGCCCTGCGGGAGGATGCCCCGCCAGCCAGACCCTTCAATGCTCTCCCTGCCCCCTCGCTGCTGGGGGTCTTCATTCTCTTCCTGGAGATCCCTAAGCTCCTGCAGGCTTCCACAACCTCTGCAGGAGCCTTCTCATGGCAGACTCGGGCCTCGCCAGTGGTTTCCACAGCAGGCCGCTGGCCCAGGAGCACCAGAACCACTCAAGAGCATCTAAGAAACGCAGGTGGCTTCTGCTAGCTCGACACTTGGAGAGGCAGGAACTCTGCTCCTGGCTAGTCCTTCAAAGAAACTGCCAAGTAGCTAGCGCGTGCTTGGGGACTCCGTCCACTCTCTAGCCAAGGTCAGATGGCAGGGGGGAGGAGGAAGGGGAGCACTCTCCCTAACCCCCAGCCGGCGAGGAATTGCGGGCTGGCAGGAAATCTGCCACAGCATGGAAGACACCAAGCCTGGGCCGCCTGACCTGAGGGTTCTGCGGAGAGCTGCTGCTGTGCCAACCTGTGCAGAGCTCCGGCATGCGGCTGGGCTCTTCTTGGAGTTGGAGGGGCAACAGCTCCTTTCCCTGTAACCTGGGGTGCGGTGCTCTCCTGATGCTGACACCTGGGTCCCCACTCCTCATTCTCACTCAGTTTTCCAAAGGGTATCAGGTCTGGGGAGATGAACTGTGACTGCCAATCTATCTCGGTGGCAAGATGTGAGCTTCTTCGGAACAAGGGGTGTCCACGGATTGCAGGTGCAAGGGCCTGGGGCAGCTTGGGGTTCAGATTCCCCTCCAATGCCAGGACCGCGCCCAGTGGGAAGCTCTGCTTAAGATGGAGACACTGAGCCCCCCCCAAGTCCCCAAACAAAGCCATTATCACAGGATATGCAAGGAGCCTGCTGGGGTACTGGCCTGCTACCCATGGCATCATGAGTTAATCCAGCCTGAGAGCCCATGGCCCAGAAGCCAAGAGCCACAGGGTTGTTCGAAAGCCTGACAGTTGTGTCCCACTAATGGGTGTCTTGTTCCTGCAGCCCGCTGATTTTTTTAAATAAACCTAAATTCCAATAATTGCTTAATGTTTATTTTTATTTAGTTCTGGTTCAGATGTGCTGCACCGTGCTTACAGGAGTTGATACTGGGTCCCTGGTGAGGTGAGTTCATACTCACAGGCACACATTCGCACACACGCACACACTTTGATGTGTGCCCCTTGCTTGACCAACAGAGGCGCGCGGGGTGGGGGGGTGTCATATGTGGAGTAGAAAATACCAAAGGGTGCCTCTGTCAAGACTCCTTCTCCCTGGCTCCTTCCCAGGGTAGCAGAAAGGGACCATCATTGTCCCCTCAGAGACCAGTTTGAGGCTCTGGGAAGTGACAGAGGCCACGTGTGCCCGGCCCTCCTGCTCCTGGATATCCCTGAAGCCACATGCCCGTCTAACAGATGGCCACTGTGGAAACCCACAAAGCTGAGAGCCACCTGTGTGCAGGGAAGACACGCAGCCCAGATCCCCTGCACACCCTGGAATCAGCAATGAGTGGGACACTCCCTGATGGGCCCCCGGCTAGTGAGAGATACCGTCCTCCGCATCAGCTCCCCTTCGAGCCTTATAGAGCTGAGATATGGGTAGGAGGGGCCCGTGTGGCATCTGGTACTGGCTCTGCAACAAGCTTGCCTGACCTGGTGCTCTGGAGTATGTGGACATTCCAACTCCCAACGTACTGACGGAGCGAAGGTTATACGCACTCAGGACAGACTCAACTTCCGGTTTGGTTTTGGATCTTCTGAGTTTGTCCAAACCTCCCTCCTGTCATGGTGGAAGGGATCACCAAACGGGACAGGCAGCAGTGTGTTTCTTAGGATAGTTTCAGATTTTTTAGGGGTCACTGGGACACGCCAACTGAGTGTCTGCCTACAAAATCACCAGGGATGCACGACCTGAGGGACAAGGCAAGTATGAAGGACAAACTCCAAGAAGCCCTTTCCACGCGCTGCACTGTCTGTTAAAAAAGGGCTAGCCCCAGCATCTCTTCCTCCAGCACCCCCAAGAGGCCCAGGCTAAGGACACTCCTTGACTCCAATTCCAAACATTTGGGTCGGAGTCACTGATCCCAGACGAGAGCCTGACCCTCCCCATCCTACCCATCTGACCCAGCCATCTCGGCCACGGTCAAGGTTGCTGCCGCTGAGAGACAGGCTCCTGCTCACTGGATGTGTGATCATTCACCCCCCTTTTGTCTAGAGCGAGAGAAGATGAGATCCAGCCAGGTGACTCGGCCTCAGGCACAAAGGCATGCTGGGAAGGTTTCAGGCTTTGCCACTCAAAGCTGCCTGGCATCTAGCCACCTCTTGGCTGGAGGTCACAGGCATGCTATCTGCCCTCAGGAAACTGCAGGGCATTCAAGCTCCTAACACACTTGCCCAAGGGACGTGGCTGGTGTGTTTTGTGAATCCCCTTGACACCTCAGGGGGTTGCTACTCTTAGGTGATGAACCCCAGGCCCGGGTGGGGGTAGCTGGGTCTGCACTGGGATGAGGCTCTGGTGACCAGCAGAGGTCACCCTATGTAATCCCATGCAGGATGGGCCACCCTGGTCCACACCACCAGCCCCACCAGAAGCTCCACGGCCCCTGTGTAATTGCCACTAATCGTGGTTCCTCACCACACAGCACGCTCCGGCTCTGCTATCAGCTAATGAGTAAATAATATTCTGCTCTCAATCCGAAAGCGCTATTAGATAGCAGAGGGGGACTAATGGGAGCCTTAAAGACCCCCTTAATCACACGTTAACGTGATGTGAGGCAGGCTGCACAGCCCGTATGCCAGCTGCCCGCCACTGCTCCCCTCCTCTTGGTCTGCAGGCAGGGGGCAGCCAGCCGGCCTGGTGCCGCCTGAGACCGCCTAGGCTGTCTGCCATCTTTGAGCTCACCGAAGTTGCCTCTGTTTTCCTGGGATGATGGAATAGGGTCATTTGTTTCCTGGGGTTACTATGACAAACGGCCACCAGACAGGTGCCGTGTCACAAGAGGAAGCAATTCTCTCTTGGCTCTGGGAGTCACAAGTCCAAAGCACAGACCCACCTCCCTCTTTGCCTCCCCCAGCGTGCAATTGCTCTTCTGGCCTGGATGTCCCAAGGCTTGGAGCTGTGTCATCTCTGCCCCTGATGCCCACGGTGTCACCATGTCTGTTTGTCCATTCATATGGCTTTCTCACCGGGACACCCATGGTAGCAGTTAGAGTCACCGAATCCTACATGACGTTGGCTTCACCAATGACCTCTGCAACGACCCTATTCTCAGACAAGGGTCTAGGGGAGCATAAATTTGGGGGAGACAAAAACCCATCCAAACCAGGGGAGCACATGAGTGTGGAGATGCCGGTCAGGGGGACAGGAGATCGGATGCTGCGTGTGTAGGTCAGAGGTTGATGTTGAGTGTGTCCTTAGTCACTCTCTTAGTCTAGTTTCTTGAGCCAGGGTCTCTCGCTGAACTTGCTCATGAGTTTGGCAAGGCTGGCTGGCCAGTGCTCTCAGGATCTCCTTCTCTGCCTCCCCAGGGTTGTGCTTACAGACAAGCTCTGCTTTTTTACAGGGATGCTGGGGCTCAAACCAGGGTCCTCATGCTTGATGGTACAACTCCCTTGCCCCAGATGTTGACGTTAATTCTCAGGGTGAGAGTGCTGTGGACTTCCTCTCAGTTTCAGAAAAGGTCAAGCGCCAGTGCAGACTCCTCCCGAGGACCCATCATGTCACATCAGTGGCAGGACTTTCTGAGCAGCCACCTCCATGGGCTTACAGTGTTTATTTCCCAGGATGCAATGCGGGAGCCTTCTCGGATTAGTCACTTTCGAATCACATTAGAGGAAGCACCGGCCTTCACGCTGCACCCCAACATGACAGGAACTGACAGGACTTGCTAATTCAATGCGACACTCATTCACCCAGGCATGGCATCAGAGGTCTGGACCGATTGATGCTGGGGCCAGCACAAGCCATGTGTCCACTGTTAGCAGAGCCACGCAGGTCACCATGGGTCACACGCCCACTGAGTGAGGCTTGGGAGAGGGAGCAAACTTAGGGCACATCTGTGTCCAACACCATCAGCCATGAAGAACATTCTGCCCCTTCTCTTAAACGTCCCAGAGGCCCTGGCTTCCCAAAGGACAGTTGATAAGCAGGGAGGGTGACCTGGCCACCTTCCACAATCCTCTGTGACTCTCTCTGCCTCATCGGTGTGACAGCCGGGCTGGCACTGCCACCGAAGATCCATCACGCTCTCATGACATAGCATGGTGAGCTGGAGTCTATGAACTTGGTGACAGTGACTGCGGGGTTGAATTTGGGGCAGGGGAGAGGGGCAGGGTGGGGGTGGCTGAATCTGAGCTGGATCACGCCAACAGTGCATGGCGCCTGAGATGGTTTGAGTTCAAGTCTTCTTGGCTGGGCATCTTGGGCACATAATTAAATGACTCAGTGTCTCCATTTGCTGCTATAAAATGAGGGTGAAGTGGATTCTACCCGACAGACTGGTGATAGACTTAGATGAGGCAGGTGTACAAAAATAAATCTCGGACGCAATGTTGGGCACATAGTAAACCTACTGTAGGATGAACGAATGGTCAGCCCTCTCCTGGCTTTTCAACATCACCTACATGTCACAGTGAGTTTGGGGCCAGGCACCGACAATAAGAAAACATTATCTGTGACGCAAGGGACACAGAAGACGGAAGACCAGGAGGACCTGGCCAGGACCAGGAGGCAGACGTCATATCACAAGAAGTTTCCAAGCCAAACCAAGGGGGCTGAATTTTATCTTGAGGGAAATGGGAGTAGGGCGAGCAGAAAGAGACAGCCTGAGGTTTTATGGAGTGGAGGAAGCAGAAACCCATGGAGACGGGGACATTGCTTTCCTAGTGCCAAGCCACCTGTCTGCTCTCTGGCTCAACCCATCCCTGCAGAAGAGATGTAGCATAAATGGGGGACAGAGAGAGAGGCAGGGAGAATGACGAAGGGGCCAGTGAGGCCTCTGGTACCAGCATGTGCTGTCCCACTATCTGCCAGCCTGTTTGGGACATGGGATGAGTCCCACCTAGCCCAGCCACACTCTGTCCCCAGCCATCCCATAATGCCACTGGATAACTCCCACAGCACTCCACAAGTCATCCAGAAGACTGCTGCCAACCGGCACATGGGCAAAATCCCAACACCCCCCACCTCACCCCCGTCAGAATGCGACGAGCACACATCCCAGTGATGCTGTCCCTAGAGCAAACATAGCCGCCGGGATTTGCTATCCCTGCCCATCACCATTCAACCTCCTCAAATCCCCAACACGGAGTCGAGTTCATACCCCAGGATTCAGGTTCGAGGGCAGAGACTCAAACATCAAAACCCGAGGGCTCTGGGCCTGCCTTCTCTCTCAGCAGCAGTGTGACCCAGGGCAAGTCACTGAGCCTTTCTAGGCCTTGGTCTGCCCTTACGGAAGTGGGCAGAAAGTCCTCTGAACAGGAGGAAAAATGTCCCAAGTGTCCATGTGGAAATCACTTTAAAGGACACTTCTGGAACAGAAATGTGATGACAGGTCACCACCTGAGCGCTGGACATAATAGTGAATACAGCCTGTCATTGAGCCAGTGCTGGACAGGCCAGGCAACTCACTCACGGCCATGTTGTCCATGGTCACTTTCTTGTTTCGGTAGCAAAAGTAAATGGCTGTGATACAGGCCATGTGGCTTGCCGTTTCTAGAAAAATTTAGGGGGAAAAAACCAACAAGAACAACATTAGTTAGCACCCAGTGAACGTGCCCTATGCACCAGACACAGTTATAAGCGCCACTTTGCTTCTTACAAAGGTCCCAGATGGGGAAACTGAGGCACGCAGAAGTTAAGATTGGCCAAGCTCAAGGCTACATAGTCAGGAGGGCAAAGCTAGGATTTTTAACACAGCAGCCTGACCCCAGGACCCAAGCCTGTACTGTTCTACTAAATAAATGAGCGTTTGGCAGGTGGGGGAGGCTATGTGTGGGTATGATTTTTATCAGCTACTCATTCAAGAGGATGCACTCACACATT